ATCACATGGGCTCGGACCAAAGAGGAAGTCAGACACAATGTGTGGAAGGGCCTGAGAGCACTGGCTGGCTGCCCAGGCCCTTGGATAAGCTGGTTTGCACAGCCAAACCAGCAAGTACATTCAAGTACAGCAACAGAAAGGTGAAGTTGAAGGAGATGAAACTGTGAACAACAGGCATAGCGGCAATTGTCAGGGAAGGTGCTTCTCTGTAGGACTCTTGTAGAAGGAAGACCTGAGACAGAAGAATTAGCTTCCCCAAACCAAAAAAAAAAAAAAAAAAAGAAAAAGAAATCTCAAGGCCAAAACCTGTTTCAACTGATCAATAATTATTGACCACCTCCTCACAGCCCAGCACTGGATGGCAGTTGTGATAGACTCCAAAGAAATACAGTCCCTGTCCTGGAGGAGCCAACTGTCTGGCTGGGAATGCAAAAATAGCTCTCCTGAAAAGTCATCCTTGTAAAATTCATCCTCCCAAAGTTCAGATCCACACCTGTTGCTTTGTTTAACCCTAGCACCTAACACGCTGCCAAGTGCTTGGTTAAATGGAAAATAGCTAAGTTCAAAATCATGATATATTGACTAGAAATAAGAGCTGAATAAAGAGAAAGTTTAATATAGATACAGGTGGTCAATCATGTCATTTCAGAAAATGTGGAAAGTTGGAAGTGACAGAAGAGAGAACATACCAGAAAAGAGCACATACAAAAGCATAGTATAAGAAATTATAATCCTACACGTTGATTTGAATTATCGTTTCTTAATGGGTGGTCCACAGACCACCTACAATAAATTTTGGCCCCAGCAACTGAATTCAAATATCTTGAGAGTGCAACCCAGGAGTTTGCATTTCTAATAAGCACCCAGACTCTTTTAATGCTTATCGAAATTCAGAACCATTGGTTAAGGTAATTGCAGATTCAAACAGACATACTCTTCCTTTAAAGTCAGGCAGAATGAAAAAATAGGTAGGGAAGGGAGGAAGGAAGGGAGGGAGGAAAGGAAAGAGGGAGGGAGGTGAAAAGAAAAAAATCTTAAATGTAGAAAACAACTGGGAAGAGAAGTCAGAGCCCACCTGCTGAAGAAATATTCCTCCAAGAGTTCCCATGGGCTTCCCTCCTGTGCCCCTGCCCCCCCCCCCACACACACACACACATACACACACACACCACTCCCGCTGTGGCGGGCAGAGAGGGGCAGGATGGGTGGGGCATGCCCCTCTGGTCCCACCTGCTCCACCGCGCCTGCAGCCACCCTGCACACACCTTACCCCACCCTGCACTTGCTGACAATGCTTTCCTTCCAGCAGCCACAGCTGTCGTGCTTTCCACTTTCTCTCCTTCTTCCTTCTATGTTGTCTTCAGTCTTAAATCCTCCCTCCCTCTGCAGATGCAAATTAACTTCCATCTTTGTTGGATTAATTTGCATACTCTTTCTGATTGGCTGATGGGTATAGCAGAGTGGTGCTTAATTTGCATATTGCTCTATTATTATGTAGGATTACTGCTACTAACTACTACTACTACTACTAGAGGCCTTATGCACAAATTCATGTGTGGGTGGGGTCCCTCGACCTGGCTGGCAATCAGGACTGTCTAGCCCAGACCCAATCGGCTGGACCCCAGCAACAAGCTAACTTACAGGTTGGAGCATTGGCCCCCTGGTCGTCAGTGCCCATCATACTGACTGGTTGAGCAGTCGTCCAACAGTTGACCAATTGGTCGGACACTGAGCGTATTATGCTTTTATTATATAGGATTGATATTTCAAACCCAGCATGACCAAAACTGTTCTTTACTCTACCTACCATTCCATAATTAAAACAAAAATGCCTTTCTGTACTTCTTATATATTTTCTCCTTATTACTAATTCCACCATTTCCATAATACCCAGTGAAGACTTGGGAGAGCCTTCCAAATCTCCTAACCTCCCCCTAATCCTCCAAGTAACATCTGTCTCCAGGTTGTGTCAATTTACCTTCCTAATGACTCCCATGTCTACCCACTCTCCTCCATCCCACTGCCCAAACCAACATCTCCTCCTGGATTATTGCAGTACATTCTAACTGGACTCCTCGCTTCCTATCTCCTTCAATTGTGATTCACCCTCCCACCTCCCAGAATGAAGCCTCTAAAAGGCAAAGAATACATGTTGCTTAAAACTCTTCCGATAGGATGAAGTTGGAATATTAGCGTAACATACCCTGTAATACAGCTTCTGAATGCTATGACCGTTGTCTCCTGTCCCACCCAATGTTTCCTGCCTCCTGCCATTGCACATCCCATACAGCTCTTTCTGCCTCAATTATCCTCTTTCCTGTTTCCATTCCAGTTCCCAGGCCCTGGAAAAGTTACTCTTTATGATCCAGTTCTAACATGTCTTCCTTTGGAAACTTTCCCTGACACCTTTACCAGGAGAGTTGGTTACACCCTTCATTCCTATTCCATCACTATACTAGTACACAATGCTGTCCCAGTGTGCATCACATTATGTGATCGCATTTCACATCTCCATCTTCCTTATTTTATGACAGCCTAGAGGACAGAAAGTGGGTCTTCGCATTCCCAGTGCCTGGCATGTCATTGATGCTCAACAAAAGTTTACTGAATGAATTTGTGAATGAAACCACAATACATAGCAACATTTACTATATAGAAATTTTTAATAGAGGGAAAATTTATAATTCCAAAAGCCTGGAACAGTGGTAGAAAATAAATAAATAAACAGAAAGTCACAGAAGCCCTCAGCTGAGTAGCCAAGTTGCCTAGAGTGTCATCCCAATATGCTAAGGTTGCGGGTTTCATCCCCAGTGAGGGAACATACGAAAATCAACCAATGAATGCATAGATAAGTGGATCAACAAAATCAATGTATTTCTCTCTCTCTCTCTCTTTCTCTCTCTCTCTCTCTCTCTATTTCTCTCTATTTCTCTCTCTCTCTATCAGTAACTTAAAAAGAAAGAAAAGATAAGAAAGGAAAAAAGGAAAGAAAAGAAGGGAAAGAAAAAAAAGGCGCAGGATCTAGCTGGTTTGGCTCAGCGAATAGAGCATCAGCCTGCAGAGTCAAGGGTCTAGAGTTTGATTCCGGGAAAGGGAACATGCCCGGGTTGTGGGCTTGATTCCCCAGAAGGGGGGTGTGCAGGAGGCAGCCAATCAATGATTCTCTCTCTCATTAATGTTTCTATCTCTCTCTCTACTCTCCCTTACTCTCTGAAATCAATAAAAATATATTAGAAAGAAAGAAAAGGAAAGAAAGAGAAGGAAGGAAGGAAGGAAGGAAGGAAGGAAGGAAGGAAGGAAGGAAGGAAGGAAGGAAAGGAGGAGGGAGGGAGGAAGCCACGGGGGCCAGGAACCAGTTTGGTGTGAGTAACAACGATAGGTTGGTTTTGCACAGGTTGAATTGTATTTGCACCAGCAGACAATTATATAAGTAACTCATGCAAGTAACTCAACTTCGAGGAAGTGATTTCCTTATCTGAGAGAGAGGGGGCGGGGGGGGGGGGGAGAGACGGGACTAATAACAGCAATCTGATGGATTTGTCAGGATGAAGAAGAATCACACGCACAAGGCAATCACCACAGCACCAGGACCGCCTGGTGCTCATGGAATCCCTCCTTCTCTCCTGTGCACATGCTTCTGGTTTGGGGTCCTCTGACCCAGCACCCCACTCCCCACCCTCACTCTGCCTGTCGTGTCCACCCAAGACAGTCTCAACTCCTAAGTTTCTGTTCTGCTCACTTCCCATGTGTCAAAAACGTAAGCTTAGGGACTGCATTCAAAAGAGGTGACAATTGCTCCAATCAAAATGAAAATATATTTCCGGTCTATTGGTTTATCGGCTGCTACTTTTAGAAGGTTCATTGGACTGGGATCATGATTGCATGACATCGTCGCTTTTAAATTTCTTCATTTTAAACAAATAAATGTAGACTCTCTCTGAATGCATATTGAGTATGTTATGCACACCCATCAATACGTATGACTGTGTGTGTTTAACTGAGCCCCCATGCTGTGCAGAAGTGGCTCATGTTTGCGCTATTTCACTGGGTGGAGGAATAATTTCCATAGTAAGTGAAAGTACAGCTACTACCTATGATGTAAGTACAATTACTACCCCTATTTTTTAAAATATATTTTTGCCTGACTTCAAACAGGAAGGAAGAGGGAAAGAGAGATAGGATCATCAATGATGAGAGATTGATCGGCTCCCTGAGGCCACAAACCAGGCATGTGACCTTGACCAGAACTGAACCCGGGACCCTTCAGTCCCCAGGCTAACGCCCTGCCCTACCGCCTGAGCCAGACTGGCTATGGCCATTACCACCCTATTTTACAGATTAGAAAACCGCGACTGAAGAATATTCAGGCAGAAACCGATTTGGCTCAGTGGATTGAGCTTCGGTCTGTGGACTGAAGGGTTCCAGGTTCAATTCCAGTCAAGGGCATGTACCTTGGTTGCAGGCACATCCCCAGAGGGGGCGGGGGGAGAACAGGAGGCAGCTGGTCAATGTTTCTCTCTCATAGATGTTTCTAGCTCTCTATCCCTTCTATCCCTCTCCCTTCCTATAAAAAAAAATCAATAAAATACATTTTAAAAATATGTTCAGTAACTTAGCCAAGGTCACACAGCTCGTGCGTAAATGTGACAGCATTCAAAATCGCCAAATAACTCACTGGACTGATGCTGCTGTGTTTTACTTTCATGGAAGCACAGAGAGAGGCCTTGGTTTAGCTGCTTTTCACTTCGAAAGGAGTGCCCGCTGAGCTGGGAGCAGAAAATAAACGGGCGGACAGGTGTGACTGGAAGGGAGCGATGGGGGCTGTAACCCGAAGCCTCCGCAGCGCCAGCAGCGCCCGCCCGCGGACCTGGAGGCTGCACGCAGCCCTGCGCCCTGAGCTCCCCGGGGCCCGCGTCTCTTTCTTCCAAAGTTGGATCTCTCCTGGGGGGAGGGGGCCGTGACGTCACCGGGGAGCGGGGATAAAGCTCCGGGCCGGGTCCCAGCGAGGACACTGCCCGGGGCGCACCGAGGGCTGTCCATCCTTGGAGACTCTCGCTGTGCGCAGGGCCACCCCTCGCCGCGCCCCCAGCCGCCCGAGGAAGGAGGCACAGAAGGCACCATGCCCCAGAACGTGGTCCTGCCTGGCCCCGCGCCCTGGGGCTTCCGGCTCTCAGGGGGCATCGACTTCAACCAGCCTCTGCTCATCACCAGGGTAGGCGGCCTCCCTCCTGCTGCTGCCAGGCGGGGCCGGGGGAGCGCGGGGTGGCCAGGGAGGGTGCGCTGGGTGCGCTGGGTGGGTCCTCTGCCTGGGACTGGGTCGCAACTTGGCAATGTGAGGTTTGGAGGATGCAGAGCAGCTGAGAAAATTGACCTGTCGGCCCCACTGGTCTGCCTGCATCCTCTCATCCCCAGCAACTTTCCCCCAGCATGTTTCCTCTGGGCTCAGAGAGGGCAAGTGTCCTCTGCCCTCTGCCGTCCACCCTCCACTCTGGTCTCCTTCCAGTCACAATGGTGGGGGGGTGGGGGGGCGCAGGAAAGAGAGACGGGGCGCTGGAGGGAGAGATGGGGACCCTGGAAGGAGAGAGAAGGAATGGCACTGGAGGCTGTGGCTTGTCTGGAGGAAAACTGCAGCCAGGCTGCGCTACCTGGGTCCGCCAAGCTGGAACCACTCTTATCAGCCCAGACAGGGAAAACATTGCTAAGCTGTATCCCTAGGTTTCCAGGCATTTTGAGTAAATATTTTTCCAAAGCTGGGAACTTGGCTGAGACATCAGCACCTACAACTGAAACTACGAAGAAAACGGGTCAGAGTTTCGTTTATCTGATGGAAAAATCAGCATTCAGCCTAATAACTCTGAAAAGAATGCTTTACTGTTATTAAAGTCAAGCTTTTCTTACTCAATATTCTATACAGTGTTGTCTAATCAGAGGGAAAGAAAAAGGAAACTCCGGGGGTTTCTGTCCTCCCCATAAACTTCTACTTAGTCTAGAGATGATTTCTTTCTCACACAAGTATTTGTCTTAAAAGAAAATTATTTCTATCATCACATACAAACCATAGGAAACCTAATACTTTTATACTTTGTTTTCTTCTCTTCCTTACGGTTTATATGGCATCTGATAAATGTGTACTTTATAATCTGATTTACTCATGTAGATTTTTGAACAAGATAATACCTTTTGAATTCTGTTCTTCTTATATGTCTATGAGATTTGGGAACCAATTACTTTTTTTAAAACAATACCTTTAAACATGTATCATACAAAGGCACAGCATGGAACATTTCAAGCTTTGATTTACATGTTTTCAAAAGCATATAAACACATCTGACATGCATTTTTTGTATGAGACATGAAACCTCAACATACCTCCCCCAAAAAATGTCCCAACGTAAACTAAGCAGAAAATAGTTTGGCGATCTGGGCCAAGCAACGCCTTTTATGGATTTCCCCAAGAAAACAGTTTCCATTATCTCTGCTGAGAAGTATTTTTAACGTTTCTGACGTCTCATTCTCATTTGTTTATAGTCAATGAAATGAGCTTTTGAGTTCTAACAAAAGATAAATCATATTGATATCGAGCCCTAAAGAAATAATTAAGTGATTTACAAAGGGAGGAGGATTCCCGCTATGGCTTTGCAGCACGTCAATGTGATTCATCGCTCGCTTGAAAGTCGAGCTGTTGACATTTGGAACAATGTTTATTTAAAGCCGTGCGTACATTCTGGGGCTGGGCGGCAGGCACTCTTTGTAAACATATTTGACATGATGACAATTATTGCCTGGAAGGCCAACGCTGGCTTGAATGTTGAACTCGTTACTTATTATATGGATCATTGTGAAGCTTGGTTCAATAGCAGTGCAGCACCATGCATGCTTGTTCATTTGACCGTGCCTCTTCTCTTCGGTGAACTTCACTCAAGGAGGCAGGTAGAGGCAGGCAAAACTAAACTGTTCTGGATTCCAGTGATTCCCCAAAGCGTAGGAGATTCGTATTGAATAAGAGAAAACACATCCACATGAACTGCTTCGCCTTAGCATACATCTAATTGAGACTATTTCCACTGAAACTGTAAGAATACTAAAAATCCTTTGGAAAAAGACTAGAAGATATTGCAAAAAAGCCATGATCATTGTTGTCCGTAGGTAGTAGGATTCTTCTATTACTTTTAGAATCTTTATATGATGTGGGAAGGAAGTGAAGAAGGTTGCTTGCCATGCTCTCTTCTACACCCTCTATGTATAGCCACAGACTTACTCCCATCTCACCATAATCCAATGAGAACAGGAGCGCTACTATCCCTTTTCACAGGTGAGGAGGGAAAGGCCTGGAGAGATTCTTCAGCCTGCTGAGGACAAGGGGGGGTGGGGGGGAGCAGCAGCACTGATGCCAGGTCTACCAGCCTCCCAAGTCTGCCCTCTGAAGTCCACACATGGGAGAAAAATCTGCTTGCCGTACAGGGATTTCCAATGGGTGCTTAGTGCCATCCAATCCATCACCTAATTCTGTTGATTCTCTATCTTAACATCTACCACTTTTCTTTGTTTCTACCACTGTACTTCTTCAAGATTTCATAACGTCCCACTGAGCTGTTAGTCTCCCTCCCCAATTCACCCTGCGAGTCCTTCCCAGCCATCTTCGGGAGATGCAAGGTTGCTCCTATCTTCCCCATTCTTATACACCCCTCAGTAGCATCACCAGAGTGTGTGTGTGTGTGTGTGTATATATATATATATATATATATATATATATATATATGCCTAAGCAACCAGCTGACCAGCTGACCAGTGGTAGCTATGACATGCACTGACTACCAGGAGGCAGATGCTCAATGCAGGAGCTGCCAAGCAACAGCAGCTTTGCAGAGTGCCCTTTCACACCTGGGACTCCTCAGGGGATGTTAAACTGCCGGTTTCAGCCCAATCCCTACAGGCCAGGACCAGAAACCCCGTTGGTGCATGAATCCATGCATCGAGCCTCTAGTAGTGAATGAAATGTGTGGTCTTTAAACACTTAGGGCTTTCACCCTCTATCCCAACTTGAGTTTCTAATTCCATTTCCTCCCTCTCTGGCTCTCCTCCCACCCATCAGTAGGCAGCAGTGCCGTGACTCTGGACTAGTCATGATTTCTCTAACAAATCTTTGATTCTCTATCATTTTCCTCCAGAAGTCTCTTCCCTACTCCACCCCACTGCCCCCTAGGCTTATGGTAACCTAGTCAAATAGCATTATGCCCCTTTGAATACCATAGCTTCTGACCTATGACCTCTCCTCATACCTCACCTGATACCACATCTGTATTCCACAAACCACATGCCCCTCAAGGGCAAGAACTTTCAAATCTGGGGGTTACTCAGTGCTGAGGACAGTGCTTTGTACATCACATATGTTACAGAATAAATATGACACAACATGAATGATTGACTAAACTGCTCACTTTTCAACAAAGCTATCACAAATAAGTACAGATTGTGTCCTCAAAAATACCCCATGATAAAGATGAATGGCAATTATTTTGTTAATTGATTTGTCTATTTTAGATACGTATGCAAAGAACTGAGATACCAATGCTTCCATTTAATGCCACAAAAAAGTCCCATAAGTCAGATGAATTCCTCAAGTCAATTAAATCCATGTTTATCCTCCTACCAGCCACCCCCACCTCCCTCCCTCACACAATACAAGTCTGGACTCAGCCTTGCTGCTCAATAATGATCCTCTGCTAGACCAGGGCTGGGGCACCGGGTTATCAATATCACTCTCTCCATCCACTGAAATACACCCTACCATTGCTTACAATCTAATTGATCTGTCAGGTTGATCATTATATCATAAAAAAGAACATTAGAAGTAAGGTATATCAAAGACCAGACATTCTCAAAAACTTGAGCAAAATGACATGCACAATCTTTAGGAGAGCAATTTCTAACCAATAGGTGACTTGACTTTGTGCAACATAAAGTTATGCTGTGGTGTTGAGTCTGGAGGAGTGAGAAGTTTTTGCAGCCACCATATGTACCTGGCCTACGTGTTTCACAGAAGAAAGCTCTGGGATTGACTCTACGTGAGCAGCGTCTCTTTTCTTGGCAGGAAGATGCTAAGGAGTCTTTCTTTTTGAAGTGTGTGGACCACCCAGAAGGTGGATCTACTATCATTGCCAAGTTACAGATCATTTGTTTTCACAAAGGGTCCAACATGGAATAAAGTGCAAGGTTCGTTTGTACACATGATAAAGAATTATTGTACACATCTGCTGCCAGCATGTCCTCTCCCACTCAATTCCTCTTCCCCTCCTCCCCTCCTCCCTCCTTCCAATTCAGAGCACACCCAGGTTCAACTGAGAATGCTATGAGTACTTGGGTACCAACACAGGCAATGTTGATGCAATCTTGAGTTTCAGGCTTTACCATAGAAATGTGTATTTCTTTAACATAAACTGTATTTGAAATTTGAACTTTTAGAAAGAAATGTGTACAGCTGAAGGCAATCCCTTTCCAGGATTCAAGTGTAGCAGGAAAGTTGATGTGATTAAAAATCTGTTTAATTTTGTTCTGCCAAAGACGTGTTTGCATGGAAGTGCTGGTTCCTATATGCATAACATTCATCCATCCCATAAATATCTATTAAGTGCTGATGTGTTGCCTGTGGAAGACACTGTTGGGGATGTCATCATAACTTAATTGGTTTCTATGCCCTGAGAAGCTCATGTATCAGTAGAAGAGAAAGGACATTTGCATAAACCACTGTGATAGAACCTGTTCAGGACTCCATGAAATGAAGCATGACCAAAGAGATAGGAGGAGTCAGGGAGAGAAAGAGAGTACCTTCAGGAGTGGCATGATGGGATAGTGGAGGAGCTTGGGTTGTAAAGTTACCCAGATCCATGAGGGAAATTCAGATTTTCACTGCATGTGTAACCTTAGACAAGTTCCTTATACTTTCTGAGCATCTGTTTTCTCACCTTAAAAGATCATCTTGAGAATTCAGTGAGATCGTAGTTCTCCAATAATAATACAAAATCAATAACAACATATATATGGCTAAGTGACCAGCTAACCAGCTAGTAGCTATAATGTACAATGACCACCAGGGGGCAGAGTTCCAACCAATAGCCATGACACACTGACCACCAGGGGGCTGATGCTCAATGCCGGAGCTGCTGGGCTGCAGTGACTTGGCAGCTGCAGTTCTTGGGTAACATACCTGGAAGTAGAGAGGAGGGAGCCCAATTCTGGGATGCATCACCCGAAAAACCGTCCTCTCGCAATCCAGGACCCCTCAGGGGATGTTGGAGAGCCGGTTTCGGTCCAATCCTTACAGGCCAAGTGCACTGGACCTCTACAAATCTACACTAATAAAAGAGAAAATGTAAATTGACTGTCCCTCCACTATGCCCACTAGCCACTCAGGAGCGAGTATGCAAATTAATCCAACAAAAATGTTGGTTAATTTGCATATGCAGGCATAGAAGGAAGTCAAGCACTACAGAAGGGAGCAAAGCGGTGGAGAAAGGAGTGAAGCAGCCAAAAAGGGAGCGAAGCCCACCACTCTAGCCACGGAAGCCCTATTCTTACAGGAAGAGGCCCTAGGAAGCCTTATTCTTGCAGAAATCTTCCTGCAACAGATCTCTAGTATTATAATAGTTCTCAACCCTGGCTGCACATTAGACTCACCCAGATAATTTTTGATAACTTTAGTTCATACTCATGTCCAGGTACTACTTACAGAGATTCTGGGTTAAGTGGTGTGGGTAGGGCTCTAGAAATGTAGACTGTGGATGCTAGAGGGTTTGAATGCCAGGAGAGGCACTGGAGTTTATTTGTAGTCAAGGGAGAACAACCAAATAATGGGGGTTTTCAACATGCCCCCCCATAAGCCCAGCAGTCTATACTTGTCTTGCTCCATAACTATTTCAATCATTTTTATTATCAACATAAAAATCCCATAAGGGCCATATCTTGGACTTCCCTTGTGTCTCCCACAGTAAACAGAACATTACAGATGTTTCATCTCTGTTTTAAATTACTTTTTTCCAAGTAATAGGTTGATGTGATAATGAAAATCATCTGAGGCACTTGTTAGAAGCACACAGTCCCTAGTCTCTCTGCCAGAGCTTCTGTTCGTGATTCCAGACATCAAGAGTGGGTGGGAGTCTATGATCAGCAAGGACCCCAGGGGGTCCTTCGAATCAGACAGGTCTGAAAACATGGCACTCAGGGATTGATGGCAGTACTAGTTCTAATGGTCTCTCCAATGCTTTGACATTGAAGGCCCTACTGACCTGGATAATAAATAATCCATTGAAAACTCCTTACTTCATTTTAGCTTGCTTTTCTCCTAACTTGGGAAAACATGTTACTAATAATATAAAATAATATAATAACATCAAGTAATGCATGAAAATAATATATTCTTGAGCTTAAACATATAGTTTAACTTACTAAAACCAGACCAACGTAGTGGTCATTTTCTGTTCACTAGACCAATTGAACTTGAGAACTTGGAAGAAGTGAAGAACAGTGTTTTCTCCTTCTGTCTCATCCCTCTCTCCACATACTTTTTTCTTTCTTAGCGACTCTCGCCTTGGAGATCCCAGGACATGCGGGTTGAAGTGGGCTCTGGCCATCACTATCAACCATCTTGCCTATTGACCTCTGAAACATCTGGTGTCAGAGCTGTGTACAGCTGCTCCCAACTTCAGTGAAGAAGCCACGGGGTTACTTAGACACTCCTCTGAAAATAGGGGCAGTCTTCCTTGCCAGCCTGTCTTAGAGCAGTCTTCCTTGCCCAGCCTGTCTTAGATTTATTAGAAAGAGCTTTGCGAATGCAATATTTTGGGGTAAATATAAAATAATGTTATTAACGTCCATATCAACACTGTTTATAACGTTTAGAATATTCAGTATCTAAGTTCAGCACACCAGATGTCTCTGTTTAAAATTTATATAAACAGATACACACACAACTCTACCTTCCACTCACTCGTCCTAACCAAAGCTAAAAGTGAGCCTTTTTGAAAGCGAGCGTGAGTGTTAGATCACTCAAATCTATCTGATTATACAAGAAAAGCCTCATGAGGTTTGAAAAGCATGTACATTAAGCCATATTTTCTCATGCTTTGACTCAAAGAAAAGCATTCTGATCTTAGGATTTTAAAAATTAGATAGTACTGGTTTTTAATGAACTCTAGCTAAAGAAAATTAAAATTTTAAGATTATTTTTATCCCTACAAGTCACATCGGGGCTGGAAACGTGTTATTCTTCTAACAGTTCTGGGTTTGGGAGAATTTCTAAATGGAAACCATCTCTGAAATGCCTCTGAGATATCACATCCCCAATTGCCTTCACCCAGATCCCATCAACTATCCCTAATGGACAGTGGCCAGGACCACTGCAGCACCGTGATCACAGAGTTCACGGTCCCGCAAGCATCTCAGTGACGGAACTGAAGATCAAGGGCACATGGGGATTTACTATTTTAGCAGTTTTGCTTATTTAGATGAGTCTTGGATCTCCCTTAGAGCCACAAAGTGAAATAGAGTTAATAGGCAGACTTAAAAAATGCAGGGGGTAGGTGGGGCAATGGGCCAATGACTAAGCCTCAGGTAAAACATTAGGAACAGTCAAGTTTATTCCTGGAGCAGTTTCAGACTTAAGTCAAGTTCTATGTACCATATTTTTCGGCGTATAAGACGACTTTTGAAATGAAAAAAAGTCAACCGAAAATCGGGGGCAAAAGACCAAAATTGCACAAAAATTACCTGCAGATCTTGACGGCAAAGTAAGTCTTTTCTTTGAAGTGGGGGGTAGTCTTATACAGCGAATATCGGCCTAAACCTATGTTTTAACTGTAAAATTAGGGGGTCGTCTTATACGCCGGTGTGTATTATTCTGCTCTAAATAGTGGGACCTTGCAAATGTAACGATGATAGGTTGACGTGAATGGCACTAATCTTCAGGCACAAAAGAAAAAGAAACAAAGTATTACAGGTGTCCCCCTTTTTTCCCCATGGACCCCCTCCACCCGGCACCCACTCCTCCCAGGCCTTCGCCACATTGGAATCTGTGTCCATGGGCTATGCGTATATAAATATAAGTTCCCAGTTAATCTCTCCCCACCACACCTCACCCCCACCTTCCCTCTGAGATTCTGGGGTCGGCTCCCTGCTGCTGTGCCTCTGGATCTATTGGTGCATCCACTTATGTTGTCCAGTAGATTCCACAAGAGTGAGATCACATGATACCTATCTTCTCTGACTGGCTTATTTCACTTACATAATAAAATGTTGCATCTTATTAGTTGTTTTCTATTTGTCCCATCTGTTCTCCATTCATGAAGAAGAGACTGGATGGTTATAAACTTCCCCTGTGTCTGCAGTTCCCAGGGATTCTAGGCGCTCCATACTAACTCACACTCGGACTTTAGCAATGTGTTCATAATTTCACTTGACTTCTTCCTAACACTGGTATCATGGCCCCATCCCCTCCTTGCTCTGACTGCGGGTAGCCCATGCTTACAGTGTGCTTTCCTTGGAGGCACCTGTCTTTCCTAAAATTGCAGGCCAGTTGGTTGCCCTTAGCCCTCTGAAGAGTTCATAAAGGTTACCATTGGATTTATTATGTGGGTTATTCATATTAACTCCAAAGTGATTCTCTTTCCATTTCCACATCCCAAGTAACCCCTGAGTGAATCATAACTTACAGGGATGCTAAAGCCGTTTCAGTTCAAATACAAAATCCCCTAAATTCTGTAAAAGTTCTATTCCCAAATGGGTTGACAAAAGAAACCTAAAAGGAAAAACAAAACAAAAAAATTATATTTTGTTTAAAGCAAAGGAAATATGATTCAAACAGGGAGACAGGAAGGTGTTTTACAAAGAATAAGACATGTCATGGTGAATGAAATGCGGTTTGTAAGAAATAAAGTTGTTTCCCACGATGGGAAAAGAGAGCTAACACAATTGATCAATTCAGAGTTACTGTAAGTTAGAGTTAGGATTGCCTACCCAGGAAATCATTTCGAGTGTTTCCAAGCTAAAATACAGATGTCAGGCACAAAACTCAAGATTATCTGCACAATGCTGATTTTATGTTTTTAAGTGGCACCATGATTTCTTCCAGATCACTCCCGGGAGCAAGGCGGCAGCTGCCAACCTGTGTCCCGGGGACGTCATCCTGGCCATTGACGGCTTCGGCACGGAGTCCATGACTCACGCGGACGCACAGGACAGGATCAAAGCGGCGGCACACCAGCTGTGCCTCAAGATTGACAGGTGCTCTTTGATGACCGAGGGCGCTCAAATGTGATCTGTGTGGCAGGAGAGCCTGAACCAAAACGATAATGACGTCATGCTCCCTGCAAGAAGGGTGTCACGGAAACTAGGCGTCTGACTGGCTTTTTCATAGGTTAGCCACTTTGGCCTGCTGTCCCCTGACATCCGTACGTCTAGTCGTTGTTAACAAACCATTTCTAAAAGGAACTCCTCCGGATGTCAGGATAGTGAAAGAGGCTAATGGAATTTTTTTCCTGGACTGATCTAGTTCATTGACAGTGGAAAAAAGAACCATAAAAGGTATTGGCCACAGGAACACGACATAGCATGGCCAGCTGCCTGCTGTTCTAAATGTGGTAGAAAATGGAATTCAAAAATCCTCCTAAAAGAATCTCTTGGCTTGACAAAATAGGATCATGTGAAAAATGGATTGCTGATATGCTGCAGGCCATTGGCTGTTTTGTACAGAATTCAGCCCAGAAGAATCTCGCAAGGTGTGAGAGTGTGTGTGCATGAGTGCGTTAGATGATGAGCCATTTCTGACCAAAAACAGGATTAGGTCATTGAACCTGATATGAGACAACGGTGGGAATAATGTTTTGTGACAGTGGTTGTTAGTGTGTTGATCTGGCTGATGTGGGATTCACCATCTCCCCTGCTGGTACAGAAGGCATGCAGTTGATCTGCCATTTGATGGGGTGAAACGGGCGCCTTCCCTGTCTGTGCATAACCCGTGTACCTGCCAAGCACACGGTCCCAGACAGATCCATAAAAAGGATTGCACAAAGCGCAGATCCTTGATGCCAACAGCAAATCCACCTTGCCAGTCACTCCCCTTCTCCTTTGGTGGCCTGAGTAGGCTAGCAGGGAGCTAGAGGGGACCTGGAAGCTTGCCCTGAGTCATGTACAGGAGGTCCCTGCAGAAACCCCCTCCTCTACTGTTTTCTGTGTGCACTGGACACCTACTTTCTCCAGAAATTACACAATGTCTTTGCCTCAGTCAGTTTGGGTCACTATACCAGAAATACCACGGAATGACTCAGTGGCTTAAATACCAAGCACTGATTTCTCATGGTTCCGGAGACTGCGAGTCTGAGATAAGGATGCCAGCATGCTCAGGTTCTCTGTGAGAGTCCTCTTCCTGGCTGTCCCAAAAACACACACAGATTTTGTGTCTCTCCCTCTTTTTAGAAGGGCATGAATTCCACTATACTCATAAACTAACCTAACCCTAATTTCCCTCCAAAGGCCCCAACTCCAATTACCATCACGCTGGGGATTAGGGTTTCAACATATGATATGGGGAGGGGAGTAGGGATGGGGCAAATTACAAACAGTCCATAGCAGCCCATCTTGATCCGTTCAAGTTTCCCCCAAAGTACACTAAATATGTAAAACTAATTAGATGGAAGAATGCAGAATAGTGAACCAGGAATATTGCTTTTGCTTAAATTATTAAATTATTGTGGAATAATAGTATTTTCACAAATGTCATAGGAAATTGTAGGGTGCTAAAACCGGAAGTATATTAGAAGTTGGAATTTATTAACTTATTTTATTTACAGGGCGGAAACTCGCTTATGGTCTCCACAGGTAACTGAAGATGGGAGGGCTCATCCTTTCAAAATCAACTTAGAATCGGAACCACAGGTATGACTTTCAGAGTGAATGATACTCACTCTACACCTTCTTTTAACTGATGTGGGTAACTTCCAAGAGGAAGAAGTGGCAAATATCAACAAAAAAAAAAAAACTGGGAGAAGTCACCTGAGGAGGCAGCTGTCTGCCTTTACTCTCTCTGAGGTTAATTTAGACTACCCATGTTCACTTACACCAAGAAAACAAAGATGGATGCCCAGGCAAACATCTTGTCAAAAGACAAACATGGTCTCAGCAGGAAAAATTTGCCTATATTTGCACACAGTCCACTTCTTTTTTTTCTTCTTTTTTCTCATTTTTATGATGGATTTCTGCCAATTGACCATGAGGTAATCCAAGAAGTTTAGGATGTTAAAACAAAGCAAAAATGGGATGGGCAACCATTTGCAACAAATATCTCTGATCTGTTAGAGGGAACTTCAATCCTCACCCACATCTTATTTTATATCCTCCTTTAATTCTCAAGTCTGGCCTTCTGTAATTTAGTTTACTCTAGGAAAAATCTTGCATTATGTAATCATGGTGATAGTCTGCTCAGGTAGTTGAATTACAAAGACAAAGGACTTTTCTCATGGGGCAACTCTGTCTATTGAGCTAAATTCATTTAATAATCTGATGCTTATCTGACCATGTCTACTCTCAAAGGCCCCAAAAATCTGAAAGTAAACCAATTCCCAATGGCACTATATGGAAAATGTAATTATTGATAAGAAAAGGATTTTAAAATCTCTACTTAGAAGCTCCCCAAATTTAGAGAGACAGATATACAAAGTCAATATCCCTTCTAAAACAAGTATTCCTACTGAACTGAGGAGACGGTCCAAGATGTAGTTCTCCTAGGTCACATGTGTCAAACACAAGGCCCGCGGGCCAAATCCGTCCCGCCAGGCCTTGCAATGTGGCCTGCACCGTGCTGTCATCACTGCACTCCGCTGCGTTTCCATCACAATGACAGTTTATGACTGTTCAGTAAACCATTCGGCCCGCGATTTAGGCTGGATTTTACATTTTGGCCCCTTCTCTGATTGAGTTCGACACCCCTATCCTAGGTAGATCATGAAAATGCACTGCAGGCATCTTTGTAATGCATGCTTCAGCACAGTTTCCCTTCGGGATCCTCAAGGATCCTCAACTCCAAGTTTGCCCGGCAGGTTCCCCACTTGCCTCTGCCAGCCTCCATTTCCTGCTACATGCAGAGAAGCATAGGTACATGGATCTCACAGGGCTTCTCAAAGATGTGAGTAAAGTTTGAGTAAGTAAAGTAAAATAACTTGGCACATCAAATTGTTCATAAAGATGTTGAGTTGGAGCTCTTGTAATTATCGGTACAGGAGCCCCTCCCACCAGGCTGTAGTCAGAAGGCCCCCTGGCCAATTCCCCCCAGTGAGACAGGAAGCTGCCACTGTGACAGGGCTTCCTGGAGACACGATGCCTTCCTCTTCACCGTCACAAGGCCCATCACAGATTCCTTTAGATTCAAACATGAAAGGAATGGGAGAGTCCAAAGAAAAGTTGCATTTTCTAACATTGTTCAGGACCAGTCTTGAGAACCAATCAATTCTCAGCACAGTGCTCTTGCCCACCTCCATCCCACCCCATCCCAAACCCCTGTTGTTGCAGTTAAAAGTGACTGTGCAAGGCGAGGGAGTGCTTAGGTCAGATGAGGATAAGCAAAAAATGGGTAAGACAGGCAATAAAGGTGGTGGGAAGAGATCTGAATGCACCCAGGTAGGTGGGTGAGTAATAATACCACTAATCAATGCTATAGTTGATAGGGGAAAAAAAGACTGAAAGAAGAAAAAATGGAGTTCTTGATGCAGAGCTGTCCCTCGTAGATAGCTAAGCCCACTGGCTTCTTCCTACCCTATCAATTCATCACTTAGAGGCAACACTCTAGAAAAAGAGATCATGTGGTGCTTTATAAAAAAAATAATAATAATAAAAAATAAAAAGAAAATTTGAGGCTCAGATACATGCATTTCCTGACCCCGATCTCATTATCACCAGGACAAACTGGATAGAATTCTGAATTGCCTCTTCCACATATAGCACACACCCAAAATTGTACTGCATCCTTCTGCGAATTTTTTTTTCTTTCACAATCTCTCCTGATTTTTTAAACTCAAGTTCATCAACGTGAGATGCCAAGTTAGGGGGCCAATTAGACAAATTTGACCCAACTCCCAGAGCCTCAGTGATCCCTGATCAGGTCACAGAGCCCCCCTGTGGAGTGTGGGTGACTGACTCAGCAACTACGGTACTTTCGAAGCTCAGGGGGCACTTTGGCTAATGGTCCCCTGTGATTTGCGAACATTTCTCTCCGGAATGGAGTTTAAGAACAATTGTCTGAGTTTTAATGCTAGAAGAGGTCCTTTTTGTAAACTATGAGCATGAATTTATGACTATGTTGATAATTTATGACTCAGCTATTCCAAGAACTGAATTTTAAACCATAACCCTAATTTGAAATACTCTGCCCTCTCAACAATCATGGGTTAGCGCATGTGTCCTGTATTTTGGGGGTTAGACAATAGGAACATTGATCATACCAAGCATGAGGGAAAGATGGAGAGGGAAGTAGGGTTTTAAAAAGAAAGGTGAAGATTGAGTTAAGGGCTCAGGAGCCAGTCAGATGGAACCTCTGAACATTCCTTTAGTTTGAGTCATGAGTACTTCTTACTCACACCCTCTCTGAGAGGCCTGTGTGCGAAGGGCTCTGAGATAAGAAGCACTTGGATTCCTTTCCTGATGGACCAGCAGATTCTTTCTCCTGACATCCTCAAGCTAGATTTCTGTGAGACCAGCACTTGAGAACAGACATTTCCCTCCACAACACAGCTCACTTCACAGCCTCTGCTGCCTGAATGCCCATAGTACACACAGAACAGAACCCAGTGATAAAACTAAGCAGTGCGTGCCACCTGTAGAATGAGACTGGAGGAAGCTAAACTGAGGTCATGTTTATATTCTTTTTTATTTTTTAATAAGCACAACGCTATGCAAAGAGTTGCCTTCCCTACACCCACCCCTCATAGCCCAAATGAGAACTCTGCAAACTCTGGACAACAAAAGTGTGTTCGCCTGAGAAGCCAATGCCATTAGCACAGCATGCTTCAGGATGCCACACAAGTGAGCAGGGAAACGCCTTTGAGCAATACCCAGTGTGGGTTCTTGTTTCACAGCTGCAGTCAAGCATTTATTGTGAGTTGTGTGGCCTTTGCTCTTGGAATAAAATACTCTTCTTCATTTTAAAAGTAGCATATGTTTAATGGAGGAAAAACCCACTACTATACAGTATATCCAATATCTAAGCACAGCCACAAATAATATCTTTTGTATATTTATTTCCAGTTTTTTTCCATGTGCATAGCGTTGGCTTTAGAGACTTTTTCATACACAATCATAGTAATAGTTGATACAAACATTTAATATATAATTTTTTTCACTTTTCTATGCCATTATGAAGTAGTTAAATTTTGTTTTTATGAATTTAGACTTGAAACTTCAGTGGTTATTTAGATTAACTCTAGTCATTGCATACATGCCTTTCATTCAGCCCTGGGCCTGGCCAATAGCACAGGCCTGCGTTTTTCTCTATAAAACACTGTTCTACACTAAAGGCAGGCTAAAACATCGTTCTAGACTAAGAGCATTCTAGACTAACGACGTAGAGTTCTATGACATTCTCCAAAGCCTACATTCTTAAACAGAACATTACGCTCATGTTTGTTTAATGTGAGCTGAGGGTGTAGCTTTCACAAGACAAAAGAGAGGCTTCCCAAAACAAACAAAAAAAATGGTTCTTTTCTAAATGATAAGAGGGCTGTTTCCACTTCCATGAAAAGGACCGAATCCTGGTCATAGAAGATTTGCTAATGAGGATGTACTACATGTACAGTTAAATAGGATAAGGTCTGGAGTTCTTTCTATGTTCATAAAATAACCTTGTTCTCCAATATTTTGATAACTGATGGCAGCCTACACAAAGCAAGTTTTCACAATCCCATGTCCCCAAATTCTTCCCCAGTGAGAAATAAAAAAAAACGTGAAACTTCCTGCAGTAATAAAGTGAGGGTGACTTTACTTTTCATTTGTGGGGTGAGGATGAGTCTGGTGAAGTGAATGTTCATAAATTTCAGGCATAAAATATAATCATTTAGTCAGTGTGGCTTGATCAAATGTATGATCCCCTGATATCATTTTTTCCTTATTCCCCACCATTTTTCCTTATAAATTATGCGTATGTTACACACATGTTGTTCATTGGAGGTGACAACTGCCCCCGTTCTCAGAGTCAATCTTCACCTGTGACAACTTGTCCACGTGAGACACTGAGAGGGAAACTGCCTCTGAGTGCTGTCACTGCCGATGCTGTCACTGCTGAGGTCACTCGGGGACTTGGGAGACGGGTGTCCAGAGCTGCTTTCTCCCAATGTCAGCAGATCTCTGCTTTCACAGACAGCCCTAGCATCTCATTAACTCAAAATACCATTCCTTAATGGAAGCTCCTAACGTTTAAGAATAATGTTTAAAATGTTAATTAACTGCAATGGTAATTTATTGACTGCCTAAGAGATAAGAATCCTGTGGATGCTTTTGTCTGGGTAGAATAAACACGAGAGCTGGACTCGATTCACTGCCATATAAAGTCTTTACCAGTATTTTCCATTACGAATGGCTTTCCACTATAAAATTAAAAGGAAATTAAAGTGGAATGGCAGGCTTCCAGTTGGGTTGGTCTCTCCGCCCCGTTTGACCACCAGCGGCGAGGTGAGAGAGACGGAAGGTGGCCTCCGTGCTGTCTTCCCTCTGTTGTTTACCTTTGGCGGACACATGTCATGGCGCTGCTTTTGGAATGACTAGCAACCCATGAACTAACGCTTTGCAGAGCCTAAATACGGATGTTTGAAGCCTGTTGGAAAAACTTTTTATGATCTGACTAGAAACTAAAGGCATTGTTTTTTTCCTAACAAATTACACATCTGAGTTGTGCAACATATAACCAACACTGAACATGGCAAAGGAAGGCGTGAAGCTGACTAACCTGTGTGCTGCCATTTGGATGCACCGCTAACGATGACAAGTGCACAGACCTTTTCAGAAAGCTTCCTCCCTTAAAAGACAATCGCCGTCCATGTTTATTTACCAATTTCAGACTATGAAGATAAAATAATGGCAGAATATGTTCCCTATAAAGCCATCAGACTATGTAAACTAGTTTTTATAAGTTCAATTGTATTTACCAAATATTTAAAGCGTATCTTACTTTGTGTGTGTGTTTTTTAAAAGCTAAGTTCCAAATAGTGTGAGCCCTTCAGTCCTGCCTGATTCACTTTTAATTAGCCTGAGAGATTTATAATCCACCAAAACGAAATTAGGCAATTAAGCAATTAGCCTTCTGTCTTTTTTCATATTGAAAAGAGTATCAAAGGCTTGAGTCATGGCCACTGTCGTTACTTAAAATTATTTCCAGTTCACAATTTCATGGCATAATAATGGCTAATCAAAATGGTTAATCATAACACTCAGCCCTAAAAAAAAGGGAGATAATCTCTTTTCTAATTTAAAAAAAACACACACACACACACAAAAGAACTATCCCACAACTTTCTCGTCTGTAATGAAAAGAAAGAAAAAAAATGACATGAATAAGAATATTATAAGATCTTTTTATTTTTTAATAAAATTTCTCTTTCCGGTAACATTCCAAATAATCATAAATGTTTGTATTACTTGAAATTTGTGTGTGACACTGGTGACACATTCGCAAAAACAAATGAAGCTGATGTGCACGTGTGAGTGGTAATACTGCTGCAAAGACTTATCTTACTAAGTCTGCCAAATTAAAAGATGTGGGAAGAGAATCAGCTTGTGTGGATTGCAGTGTTCACTTTTGGTTTTCTTTTTCGGCTTAGAAAATAACTAATAATTTTATGGCATTATAGATCTACACAAAAATTAGAAAACATGGTTCTGACATTAACATAATAATAAAGTTTCAGATCATGCGGGCATATTTCCAATTTAGAGTTTAGGACCCTTTTCCCTGAATAATAAAGTGAAAATCCTTTTGGGAATTACACGCATTAGCTATCTCTACATTACTGACTGTAATCTTTCTGGAACTAGAGTAAATATGGAGAGTTTTTTAAATACATAGCAGTGAAATCATCACAATAAAAGCAAAGGAGGTTTTATATAAATGCTATTCCCACTTTGATCAGAAATAAGAGTCTTTTCATTACTACTATTTTTTCTAAACTTAAGGTATAACTGAATCCACATTAAAGATTTTGATTTTTTGTTATAGGTTTTAAGAAAAAGCAGGGGGTGTCAATCAGGGAGGAAGGAGACATATGAAATACTTTAAACAATAAAAAAAGGAAAAAGCAAAAGCAGAACTTTTCCTTAGGTTAGTTAAAATGATTTAGTTATTCACAAATGCTCACTCTCTTTCTGGCCATTTTATTCCTTCATTTCCTAAAATGGGGAAATTTTAAGATATTATTGTAATAGAAGATAAAGCAAATGTAAGTTCTACTTAAGAAAATGTTAAGTAGTATAGCTTTTTAAGCTAACAATTTCATTTCTAACACAAAAATTTCTCTATCCAAATGAGAATTTTCTAAAAGCTATGGATCTAGAAGTCCACAGGGGATAGACAAAAGATACAGTGTTTGAATTCTTGTATAACAGTGGTCTGCAAACTGCGGCTTGCGAGCCACATGCGGCTCTTTGGCCCCTTGAGTGTGGCTCTTCCACAAAATACCACAGCCTGGGCAAGTCTATTTTGAAGAAGTGGCATTAGAAGAAGTTTAAGTTTAAAAAATCTGGCTCTCAAAAGAAATGTCAATCATTGTACTGTTGATACTTGGCTCTGCTGACTAATGAGTTTGCCGACCACTGGTTTATAATATTACAAATAAGGTCAGTTCCTTTGCACCTGAACATCTGGTGGATGCAGACAGCTCAGGTCAAGTTCATGGAAAACGCAGAAAGGTTTATGCCCGACTCCCCCTTTAACCTTGCATTAACCTTGTTTTGGGTAAGAAGCCTTGTTTAACCGTCGCGGTTGCTGTTGGTTTGCTCATTGACGGCTCTGTTGTGCCCTCTGTGGCTCTGTGTATTTTGTCTGCCATTGTACAGGAGTTCAAACCCATTGGTACCTCGCACAACAGAAGGGCCCAGCCTTTTGTTGCAGCAGCAAACATTGATGACAAAAGACAGGTAGTGAGCGCTTCCTATAACTCACCCATTGGGCTCTATTCAACTAGCAATATCCAAGACGCGCTCCACGGACAGCTGCGGGGTCTCATTCCCAGTTCACCTCAAAAGTAAGTACCGGCCTCCGCCTCCGGCCACCGCGTTCCTGAGGGCAATAGCCCAGTTTCTCTTCCTTTCCCAAAGTCCAGCTCTTGCTGTTTTACTTTCCTGACCTAAAGACAAGCATCTCTAGACCGTCGTTCCAATCTGCCAGCCCTGGAACGTTTAGTGAGTCGATGGTTTAAAAGGAAGAAACCACTCATGTCAATATTTGGTGGTAAATAACCGGCTCTGTCCAGTTACTGTTGGCTTGATTTTATCTGAAGTCACAGATTAGTCTTCCACTGAGGGACTGTTTAACCCTTTGTTTCCGCAGGATGTGAACTACTTTGAACACAAGCACAATATTCGGCCCAAACCTTTCATTATCCCAGGCCGAAGCAGGTCATAAGCTTTGAGACTGTGAGATGTGGAGTGCATGCTTCTTTAATGAATCCTTACTAATCTCCCAGAAGAGTAACTTCTGAGGTGTTTGGAGTGGCTATTTTTTTTTTTTTTCTTTCCATTTGGAAGCTTCTTTCAAAAGCAAAGGAAACAAGCTCAGCGGAGTAGAGAGCCAACTAAGCTCCTCCATTTCCAGGAGTAAATACTGACTGGATTACAGAGCTTCAAATGCTATGCCATCATCACGTATATTTATAACTAACACCCCCGGCATCCCAACAGGACTCACTGACCTCTGAGGCAGGCAGATGTCCCAACGGCAGCTCAGGAAGGCCCAGCCAGCAGGAGCAAAAGTGGAAACCAGCCCTCCCATCAGGAGGAAGGAAGGGGGGCCACAGGTGGGATGCAGGGAGCTGCTTATGTTAGGCCCTCATCATCCCCACCTCGGCACCTGCTCCTCCAGCACCATCAGAGCAGCTGGGCATCCCCACTCCTTCCAGCCCTGACATAAACATCTATTTGCATTCCTAGGGATACCTGCAAAGGAAGAGAGGGGATTGAAAAGGAACTTTTCCACCTGAAGGAAAATAAGTAATTAAGACAGAGTTGGGCCCTCACCGGTTTGGCTCAGTGGATAGAGCGTCAGTCTGCGGACTGAAAGGTCGCACGTTCGATTCCATTCAAGAGCATGTACCTTGGTTGCGGGCACATTCCCAGTAGGAGGTGTGCAGGAGGCAGCCAGTCGATATTTCTCTCTCATCGATGTTTCTAACTCTCTATCCCTCTCCCTTCCTCTCTGTAAAAATATCAATAAAAATCAATAAAACTAGTAGTATGGTCAGGCCGCATGGATCCTAGCAGGTTAGGATCATTGGCTGAGGATCTATATCAGGTTTCCCAAACTAGTGAGCTGCAGGTGGATCCATTCACAGGTAGTGCTTTATTTAGCCCTTTGATTATTCAAATGAATTTAGGTAAGTGCCTTTAAGATGGAACAGCTACTCTCTAGCTGCCCAAATACATGCCCATCACTCCTAAGTGTATGATTCCTGGCCCATTTTCCTATAGACGTGACCCTCCTGGCCCTTGGAGACACCTTAGGTTATGGTGCCAGCTGCGGATGGTCAGTCATCACTTATATGGGATGTACATGTGCAGACCTCAGAAGCAGGAGCAGGGGATTCCTCAAAATAAGCCAGACACTTATGTGGTGTCACCTGGAAGAGCAGGAGGAAGATGCTCACAAGGCAATTATGACAAAATACATCTTCCCTCACTAGAATGGAAGCGCAGGACTATATCCACCACCTACAAGTGCAGCTGGCACAAAGTACACACCCAGTAAATGTCATCAGATAGAGGAACACAACCCAAAGAGAGCCTAGTATTTCCTCAGAGGCAAGAAGAACCAGGACCTATGATCCCTCCCTCACACTGTCTGCTCTGCACAGTCCTTTTTCACTTCTGTTTGTCCCCTTGTTCCCATTCCATTTTCTTCTGCATCTTTTCCCTATTTCACCACATCCAACAGCTTCCCAACCCCTCCTGACACTATAACAATACTCAATTAAATGTTAAAATGCTAATTTAGTATTGAATAGATATATAGATATATAGATATATATAGATATATAGATATATATAGATATATAGATATATATAGATATATAGATATATAGATATATATAGATATATAGATATATAGATATATAGATATATAGATATATAGATATATAGATATATAGATATATAGATATATAGATATAAGAGCAAGACATCAATGGGACACCTCCTGCACACCCATTGAGCCCGAAACCCAAGCATACACCCTAAGTTGAACCATCAACCTTTCAGTTCATGGGACAACAACCAACCAACTGAGCCACACCAGGAAAAAACATTTTTTTAAAGCATCAGGTCAAGAGGTCTTTTTAAATAGTCCCAAAAATGTGTAAGAAAACTAATGCTAGTTTGCTTAGAGTTTATTTCTTATCTATTCAATAGACAGGGTCCCCTCAATAGAACGATAAGGAAATTAAAAGATAGAACATAATTTTTATTAAATAAAGTTATATACACAAACATGCATGTATAAAGAACACTAACAACGGAAAGGGATTATTCATTACAACTATAAAAAAGAGGAATACCTGTAAATTCTGAATTGATCCTAGTTCATCCACTAGCATGATGCCTGGCCCACAGTAAGATCAGAGTAGTTACAATACTTGTGGGGAAGGCTCACGATTTTAGGCCCGGGTTTCCTAAGATTTAACTCAAGTCTTTCAAATCCCAAACATACAATTTAATAAGCTTCACTTAGATCAAATCAATAGGATCCTGACTAAATGGCATTACAACTGAAATGTCCCTTCTGTTCTTTTACCCACTAAAGTCACTTTCAGGAGCCAGTGTAGCATTGAGCCTATGGAAACAGTGAATAAGGCACTGTTTTTGGTATGTGATCGACCAATTCACAGACTGAGTTTTAAACAGGTTCTCAAGCCAAGGAGTTGACAAGACCACCTATAAAGGTGATGATCCACCCTGCCTCATTTAGGCTCTGTGGGTGGTTGAATTGGATAACACAAGACACAAAAACAACAACGTTTCATCCCTTTAGTGGCATGGGTTGTCCAGACTAATCAGTCAACAACATCAAGGCCCCCAAATCCTCTTGGTTTGTGCTCTCTGTGTGGGGCTGAGGTTAACATGAGCAGCTCTAGAGAGTAAATGCAGAGATGGATCAAAGCTGAGCCCTCAGAGAGCACCGACATTGAGATGAACACACCATATGAATCGTCTGTCTTGAGTTTGCAGCAACACTAATCTGCAGGCATAATGGAGGTGACAGTAATACTAATGTTTCCTTTGGCTTTGTCTTAAATGACTGTGCTTCTAAAAAATCTCAGTATATTTTATTTTCATATAATGCATTTCTCATGCTGCATAAAATGCATGGAGAGGCATGACAGTTTAGTCCTTGGCATGTCAGTTGTGACCAGCCTTCTACCTAGCTTCATAGAGAACATGTGCTCTCTCCCAGCTGTCCTGAGAATTGCATGACTGGCCACTCTGGTGTTTTAATAACAACTCCCTTCTTGTCTGTAAAAAAAAAAAAAAAAAAAAAAAAAAAAAAAAGGATAAGTATGCATGAATATACGTGTGTTTTCAAAAGTTTGCATGAAATAGCAATGTATAAAAGAAATAGACCTCAGCTCTACAGAGCCTTTGAAGAGTTCAAGATCACCATATGTGCTCTCTAATCATTAATTTCAAGGTGACAAGCATTTGTTGGCTGTTCTAGAGCCTGTATTAAATTCTGGACAGTTTTTAGAAGCAATTCCTCACCAAATTAAAGAGTGACCCAAAAAACGTTAAAATAGTCCAGATAAAATGTTTACAACATAGCCTTGAAACATAATCTGTATCACAGAACCAACACGTTTCTAGGTATGATTCAATTAAACTCAACTGCATTTCTGAGACGCCCTTATTTGGAAATGTCTAGCCTAAAAATTTCATTAGACCTTCATGTGGCCTAGTCAGTCACTATTTGCATGGACCATTCCTTAATTGTTTCATTTTAAATATTGCACCTCAGAAATGTAAAAGGGTACCCAGCCAATGTGATTTCCCTGCACCCTCTATCTGTGATCTTATCAAGTTTAAAATGACCTGGCCTATGTTTAAAAAGCGAGTAGGGTCTCACCTTTTCCACTTTCTACATACAACCTGTTTATGTGTGACCTTCAACTTGCATATCACCTGGTAGAACAGAGCCAGAAAATGCATTGTCACCTGTACCTTTCAACTGTGTGCAACTTTTTACGACCACGAATTTTTAAATGTCCTTTCCAGTTAAAATAAATGGTAGCCAGAAATCCACACTCTGTTTTCATTTGATTTGATTCACCTCTCACTTTTTTGTCTTCAATCCCTGTTAACCTCTCTGTCCTTGTTCTCTGTGTCCCTCTGTCTGGCGTCTCTGGTCCCGTGTCCCCTCCGTGTCACGTGGTCATTAACACAGTGGATGCAGCACTCCGTCCGGTATTGACGGTAGCAGTGGACGTAGCACCCCTTCCTCCATCAGCACTGTTAGCACTATTTGCCCCGGTGACTTGAAAGTTGCTGCTAAGATGGCCCCTAACATTCCTTTGGAAATGGAGCTTCCCGGTGTGAAGATTGTACATGCTCAGTTTAATACTCCCATGCAGTTGTATTCAGATGACAATATTATGGAAACACTGCAGGGTCAGGTTTCCACAGCGCTAGGGGAAGCACCCGCCATGAGGTAATGTGAGTCATTCTGAACCGTGGGCATACTAACTAAACACGTGGGCAATGTCAGCTTTCAGGGGTCTTTTAACACGGTCTTAGCTGAAAGGAAGCTGGGTGAGACGCTTTAAGGAGGAAATGCTAAGGATTTATTGCAAATGTCTAGGTCTAATGATAACAGTGATTTGAAGAATGAAATAGAGCTTTATGCGACCCATTTAGTTTAATAAACTAAAATCATGGGAGGGCCAAATGTATATGTGTTCTGAAAAGCTACAGTGAACTTTACAAGTTATGGTACAATACCTCTCAAACAGGATCAATAATCTAGCATACTCTATGTTTCTCCTTGGGGGGTCAAAAATTGAGGAGGGATGAGAGGTCCAGAGGAGTTTTAAAAGAAATGATATTTCTCCCTTCCAATGGCATCTTGTGTCATTATTTTCCATTTAAAATTTCTGCCATGAATAAGGGGTTAGAAGTGAATATCTTAAACTGCTAATGTAGATATTTAATTTCCAATGGTCTCTATTTTGATTACTTTTTTCTTTATTATAAACATTTGTTTAAAGTACTTTTGCCATCAGTTTTTTTTTTCAATTAAAATTTATTATAAGAAAAATCTTATTATTTTTAATATTACAGAACCACTTTTTATAAATTAAAATAGTATCATTCCTAAGTGCACTATGTAACAATATGCCAAAGCTATTTCCTGGAATGAATACAATAAGATAATAATAGCATAATGTATCTCAAAGCCAATTTGCAAAGAAATTCAAATATCAATTGTCTTCACAAATGATATAGGTAGTAAAATTATGTGTGGATAGTAGCTACCTTTTCTAGGCAATGTCATGAAATGGCATAAGCTAATAAAGCACGTAGTGCCTGATGTGTAGTTTTATTGTGGCATTTTTTATTGTTCATCGTAAATATGTTTGTAAGAAGTTTATTAAAATAAAGCTTCTGCTGTTGTAAATGAATTTTAATGTGGCTATTTAGGAAAAGTAGTGTAGTCGATGTAACTCACCTTATACGTGAAAGTTTCTACCTTAGGAGCTTCCAACCACTGGCAGTATGAATTCCTTCCATTTGCAAGCAAAACGGTACCTTTGTGGTTTCCAGGAATTAACAAAGCAAATTAATCCTAAAAACACCATTAAACCACATCCTTTCAGTTTAGCATCAGAAGGGAATCTGAACGTAAGGACAATCGGATGACTGAGCGTCATCGCAACGGGCTCACTCCCGCACTGCCTAGCATGTGTATGCTGTCTCTTCTTTTTCTGAGAAACGGTTTATCTTGGTCCCATTTATAATTATCCATTCATAAAGACACAGGTCTGTTTTTGAATTACTATTTCCTCACCATCGCCTCTTAGTGGCCCTCCCTGGTATGTGGCCAAACAGAGATGGGCCGGGGGGAGCCTGAGGTTATTGAATGACATGTCTGAGCAGCCGCGTGAAGAGACGCTCTTTGGGAGCTGTAGCAGGGATGAGCCTGAGAATGCTGAGTCTCCGAGCAGGGGTCACTGCAGGTGTAGCGATGACCGTGTACTGCTGTCTGTGGTGAATAGATGCTCTTTGGGAGCCGTAGCAGGAATGGGCCTGAGAGTACAGGATCTCTGTGCAGGGGTCACTGCAGGTGTAGGGAGGACTGTGGACGGCTGTCTGTGGCTATTTAGGAAAAGTAGTGTAGTCGATATAACGGGCGCCTCCTGCTGCCCGCACACCCCTGACACTGCCTCGCCCCCGCCGTGCCGTTTCAGTGAACCCACAGCCTCGGTGCCCCCCCAGTCGGACGTGTACCGGATGCTCCACAACAGTCGGGAGGAGCCCTCCCAGCCTCGCCAGTCGGGCTCCTTCCGGGTGCTCCAGGAGCTCGTGAACGACGGTGAGTGTGGGCGCCGGTGCCAGGGGTGGGCAGAGCCTGTTGGCAGGCCAGGGGCGGGGAGGGTGGCAGACAGACTGGGATGGAAGGCTGAGCATGCATTGTGTTCGGAAATCAAATGAGTCTGTGCCCAGAGGCTTCGGCGGTGCCTGGGTCAGGAGCGGTGCTCCCAGAACGAGTCCCCTGGTAAAAAGGCACCAATGCAAATTCCATTCATGGTGCCCGAGAGACGGCTGGGCTTCCATACTGTAAGCAGAGTTGTAAGTGGATGTGGCAAGATATTCTCAGCCTCCCATCCTCCAGAGCAGGCGTCTTCAAACTACGGCCCGCGGGCCACATGCGGCCCGCAGAGGAGTCTGATCCGGCCCGCCAGGTTTTTTGGGCAGTGAGCGCAGCCGAGGTGTTACAGTAGGAATTAGTAGTTCATATAGTCCGGCCCTCCAGCTCTCTGAGGGACCGTGATCTGGCCCCCACTTTAAAAAGTTTGAGGATGCCTGCTCCAGAGTATCGTCATCAAAATCTAAAATGTGACAAACCTGTGGTGTGTTCCCAATTCTACGCTAAGCCCTTGGCCCACATGACCATTTCCCGCTCACAGTGTCTGCGAGCAAGCAGCTATTGCCACGGAGAGGGTGGGTTTGTGCAAAGCCACACAGCCAGGAAGAAGCAGAGCTGTGTCCGCAGCCCACTCCCTCTGTCCTCAGGGCACACACGCTTACCAATATGTTCCCACCTCCAAAAGGTAGATCCTGTCCCTTCCAAGTTGCACAAGAATGCATACTGCCCCCTGAGGAATGCTATTCTCAGAAATACAGGGACAATAACAAGTACTGTGAGGATGTGGAGAAATGAGGGCCCTTGTGGATGGCTGATGGTCCCGCCAGTGATGGCACTTCCTGAAAAAATGAAACATAGCGTCACCTCATGATCCAGCAATTCTACTCCTACATATGCACTCAAGGGAGGCAGGGACTGAGACAGATACTGGTCCACCAATGCTCCTAGCAGCGTTAGTCACAAAAGCCAAATGATGGGGATAATACAGATGTCTGCCGATGAAGAATAAATAAAATGTGGTATATGCATAAGATGGAATACTATTCAGTCTTAAAAAGGAGTGAAATTCTGGCATTCCACAACAGGGATGCAACTTTAAAACAGTGGTTCTCCACCTTTCTAATCCCTCGATCCTTTAATACAGTTCCTCGTGTGGTAGTGACCCCCAACCATAAAATTATCTTCGTTGCTACTTCATAACTGCCATTTTCCTACTGTTGTGAATCGTAAAGTAAATATCTGTGTCTTCCGATGGTCTTAGGCGACCCACAGGTTGAGAACCGCTAGCAGGGTCGCCTAAAGCCATCAGAAAACACAGATATTTACATTACGATGCATAACAGTAGCAAAATAATGTTATGGTTGGGGTCACCACAACATGAGGAACTGTATTAAAGGGTCTCGGCACTAGAAAGGTTGAGAACCACTGCTTTAAAACATCCTACTAAGTGAAGTCAGCTCAACAAACGGACAAATATTGTAGGATTGTAGTTGTGTGAGTAAGGGGTACCTACAACAGACAAGTCATGGAGACAGAAAGCACAGCAGAGGTTACCATGTTCTGGGAGGAGAGTTATTGCTTACTAGGTAAAGAGTTTCTGTTTGAGATGATAAAATATTTCTAAAAATAGATACAGGCAACAATTTCATAATGTTTGTGAACGCACTTAATGCCACTGACAACATTAAGATGGTTAATTTTATATTAAGTATATTTTACCACGATAAAAAAAAAATGCAAAATCTCTGCTCCTCTGAGCACTTTGTAGCAGCTTCCTGCCACAACAAACTGCTCCCTGACCGTTCGGCAGGCCTGTTTGGCGCAGGGTGAGCTTGAGCTAGCCCCTCTCCTTCGGAAAGGAGGCTGCAGCGCCTTGGGAATTCCTCCGGGTCAAGTGCACGCCTTAAAATAGACGCCAAGGACGCCCGCAGCCCGCTGTGCCTTTGCCATAAAAGGCGCCCTTTGCTTTTCAGACGACCGTCCCTCCGGCACGCGCAGTGTGAGGGCGCCCGTCACCAAAGCCCCGGGCGGCGCGGGCGGCGCGCAGAGGATGCCGCTGTGTGACAAGTGCGGGAGCGGCATCGTGTGAGTGTCCCGTACCTGGGGCGGGGGGGTCCCGTCAACCGTGGGAGCAGCTCTCCGTCTCCGCTCATTGGCTGGAAATGCAACGTCCACCACACGTCTCTCCTTCCACCAGAACACCTTAGCTGGCCCTCCTGCGGGCGCATACTGAGTCAGCACATCTCCACTGACCATTTCAGAGGATCCTCATGGAAAGAAAATTTTCCCAGAGTGTATTTAAAAAGTCATTTCCAAGAATCAAAACTTCCCTTCAAAGAGCCCTCCCCACCTTTGTGAAGGTACCAACTTCGAGGTTTTCCTCTTGTGTCTAAACCCAGGGAAACACACACACACACACACACACACACACACACACATACACACATACACACATATATATTCATACATACACACACCACACACATACACACATGCACACACTACATGCGCACCACCACACAACCACATACACACATATATACACATATACGTATATACATACACATACACAGCACATACACACAGCACATGCACACATACATACATACACACATATATATTCATACATACACACACCACACACATACACACATGCACACACTACATGTGCACCACCATACACATATATACACATATGCGTATGTACATACACATGTATACACATACACAGCACATACACACACACCACACACACACACACACACACACACACACACACGGCAGCCACTGGGTTGTTGTTGACGACATTCTCTTTCCCCAGTTTCTTAAGTGGCACAAATAGTCAAACACGATTGTTAAAAACAGAGTCCCAGCTCCCCCATCCAGGGCCTTGATGTCTGAACCCCCACATCTTCACGGGAACCAGGTCTTCTCACTCTCCCCCCGCAAACAGCCCACAGCCACTCCTCCATCCGGTGTGTCCTGCTGCAGCGGCCACACGGAGGCCCCGCACGGCCAGGGGCCGTCCCAGGAGGCGAGGCGGTGGGGGCAGGCCTGGTCAGAGCAGCGCGGCTGGGAGGAGCCCGGTCTGCGTGGCTCAGTGGTTGAGCGTCAACCTAGGAACCAAGAGGTCACGGTTCGATTCCCCATCGGGGCACCGGGTTGCAGGCTCCATCCCCAGTGCTGGAGGCAGCCGATCAATTATTCTTTTTTTTTTTTTAATATATTTTATTGAGGAAGGGAGAGGGATAGAGAACTAGAAACATCGATAAGAGAGAAACATCAACCAGCTGCCTCTTGCACACCCCCTACTGGGGATGTGCCTGCAACCAAGGTACATGCCCTTGACCGGAATCGAACCTGGGACCTTTCAGTCCACAGGCCGATGCTCTAACCACTGAGCCAAACTGGTTTCAGCCAATCAATTATTCTTTCTTGTCATTGATGTTTCTGGCTCTCTCTCCCTCTCTCTTCGTCTCTGAAATCCATAAAAATATAATTTTTTAAAGGGGGGCAGGGCAGGGGAAGCAGGCAAGACAGGACGCTCAGGAGCAGAGCGGATCTCAGCAGGGAGCTGTGACCTCAGCAAAAGCAATGGCTGCTCCTAAATGGCAGCGAACTGTTTGCCAGGAGAGGCAAGCCCCCTCTTCTCCCTCCCTCTCCCCCCACCCCTGTGGGAACTCCTCTCTGCCCGTGGTCCGTGTTCTCTGAGCTGCCCAGAGCAGAGCAGGGGCTGGGCCAGCGCCCTAGAGAGCCGTGACAGGGCGTTCAGCTGTGTAGGCAACGGCCTTGGCCAAGGTCGGAACCCTCTGCAGAATGGCGCCTCCCTCTTTCAGAGAAGCCACGGGGAGGGACACCTGATTAAGGGACACCTGATCATTTCCATGGCAAGGACGTGTGTGCAAATCTGAAAAGCAGCCATATCCGAGGGAGACGCCCGATGGCCTGTCCTGGCCGTCATGCATCACACACACACACACACACACACACACACGTACATCCGTGCGGCCGCTGTGCCCTGCGTGCCACCAGCGCCTCTGGCGTCGGATGTGGCGCAGACACCGCCGGCCTCCCGGCCCCGGGCCCCGGTGAGCCAGGGCTGGCCCCCGGGGCTCTGACCCGTCTCCTTCCCTCCGCAGCGGGGCCGTGGTGAAGGCGCGGGACAAGTACCGCCACCCCGAGTGCTTCGTGTGCGCCGACTGCAGCCTCAACCTCAAGCAGCAGGGCTACTTCTTCGTGGAGGGCGAGCTGTACTGCGAGGCCCACGCCCGCGCCCGCACGCGGCCGCCCGAGGGCTACGACACCGTCACGCTGTACCCCAAGGCCTAAGCCCCCGGGCCCACAGCACGCGCACGCAGTCACATGGGACGACGGTCATGACTTCGGGCAGGGGTCGAGCAAACTGTCGAGTCCAAAACTAACAACACCCGGCTGCCCGCCGGCTGCAGCCCAGACACGCCTGTTGGTGTGCGCGCAGCTCTCTCTCTCTCTCTCTCTCTCTCTTTGGGGTCGGCAGTGACTTCGGACAGGTACACCGAGCATTTTTCCTTTTTGTATGTCCAACTCCACCATTTGCATTTATATTAAGACCATCAATCACTGTAAACCTCCAGCGAGCGGGGGGAGACTGATGGTCTCTCCTTGCCACGCTGGCTGGGCGGTGCCGTAAGCACCGAAGGATGGCCTTGTATTCTAGCACAGCCCGCAGTTGTATGGTCCCTGCTTCAGCCATGAACGTCCATGCCGGGGAAGGCCCTGGGTTCCTCTGGTGTCCTCTGCAACCATCCCACCACGGGATGTGCACACATACGCACGTAAGGACCACGTGGAACATCGGGCGTGTGCCTAGAGGCGGCGCTCCATGGAGGCAGCGGGCACCCACGCTCCCGCGAGGGGGCCGCTCCGATGGGCAGCGCGGCCGCTTTAGGAAAACGTGGCTTCCCTGGCGTGTATTGCTCACTTGCTCTTTCTTAGGAGCCCCCTGGTCTCTGCCGACAGGAGAGGCGCTGGCGTCGGCTAGTTAGAGGGGACGCCGCTCAGATTAAACCCGTTTCTTTGGCTTTGAAATCGTCTCTCTCATTTCAAATGTCTCTTTCACGTCGATGTTCAATCAAATCCAAGGTGCAGACCCCATGGAGGTTACTCTCCACTTCCTCCTCCTTCCCAAGGCAACACCTCCAAGAGGAGACAGTGGGAGGTGGTGGGGGAGAAAAAGGGGGTTGCTGGTCCCCTGGGCCCTGCCGGCAGTCCCTGGTTTGCCTCCTGGGCTGTTTTTCTCAGCAGAGTTGGGTCTAGGCCCGTGGTCAGCAAACTGCAGCTCACAAGCCACATTCGGCCCTGGGCAAACAGGGGAGGGGACTGAGGCTTGTAGCGAGCCCTTTTCTCAGGACTCTTTCATTCGCACTTCATCGAACCCTTTATAGCGGGCTACACGTGCTTTCCACTGGGCTTCCTGCGTCCAGCTCAGAGATGCTGTTCACCCTCCCCGCAGACGACCCAGCAGGCGGGGAAGTGCCCGGGGCGTGTGACAGTGTGGGGGGCAGTGGGGACACCTGGGGGGTTTGGTGCTTCTCCAACAGCTGCCACTGGCGTCCGCGTGTAGGAACCCCGCCTTCACCCTCTAGTCCCACGGTCGGCAAACGGCGGCTCGAGAGCCACATGCGGCTCGTTGGCCCCTTGCGTGTGGCTCTTCCACAAAAATGCCACAGCCTGGGCGAGTCTATGTTGAAGAAGTGGCACTAGAAGAAGTTTAAGTTTTAAAAAAAAATTGGCTTTCCAAAGAAACGTCCATCGTTGTCCTGTTGATGTTTGGCTCCGCGGACTCATGAGTTTGCCGACCACTGGCCTAGAGAAGTGGGCTCCCTGAATCTCTGGACCCACGGCTTTTTATTTGCTGGGAAACACATTGGCCCTTTAGGGACACAAACAGGTAAGTTTGATGAACAGGAAAAGAGGTGCTCCAGCTGCTCTGCATTTTCACCTCCTCTAGTCCACCATAACGGTGCTGCCGGCTCCCACGCCTCCCCAGGCTGGATGATGGGGTCAGGGGAGACTCCCTCAGCTGTTCAGCAGCAGGTACTCACATGCAGATTTTCAGCCCTGCTGAAGCCCCAAGGTCCACCGGCCTCCTGCACCATCAGCAGGTGCGATCACCCCTCATGGCTTCTCCACCTCTCCCTGCTCCTGAGGGGCAATCGGGATGGCAGCCACCTCTTGCACCCACTGCGGGGGAACAGCCCTAATTACGGTGGAATGGCATTACTTAACAGCCCTGCTTGCACCTGCTGCTGCTGGCGACAGCCCCAATCACTCCACAACATCAGCAGGTGTGAGCAGGGCTGGTGCAGTCAGCACATGGTGGTGGGACCAGGGCTGCTGGCAGACAAGGGACCAGGGGCTGCAGTGGGAGAGGCTGAGCAGGGGCACAGAGGATGGACCGAGACCCACCCCGGTGCCTTACGGCAGCCTCACGGCCCACAGTTCCTTTGAAGGTGCATGAATTCGTGCACTGGGCCCCTAGTAAATACATAAAGGATAAGGAAGTCAACTTTCTCACTGTTGGTAAATTACAAACATAGAAATGGAGAAAATGAGAAAGACCACTGTGATGTTAAACCAGGCATATTGTGAACACATGGGACTCAATATAGATGATAGATAGACAGACATAGAAACAATAAATAATACAGGTGTGTGTGTGTGTGTGTGTGTGTGTGTGTGTGTGAATGTAAATACACGTGCACACAGACATTGCCTAGCTCTGTCCACTGAGATGGCCGGAAGCAGCGATGCCTGGGTAGCCACGTGCATGCTTAGCACTCACATCCTGGCTGTTGAACACCATTCTCCTCTCCAAGAGGCAAAGGCTCCTTGGAGAAATGGCTGGCTCCCAGGCTGGGCAGGCAGAGGACAGGCGGAGCCTGGGAGATCCAGTCCGTGAAGAACAGGGAGTGGGACTCCGGAAATGAGGGGGGGGGGGGGTGTCAGAAGCACACAGAAGCCAGCTAGAGAGACTCCCAAGGGTCCAGTGAGGGACACGGAAACAGCATGGACACCAGGTTCACTACCAATGAGGACCCGCTCCCGCCCCCTGAATGAAAAGGAGATGCCGAGGCCACGGGACCCGAGTGAAGAGACGTGACATGACAGCCGCATGTACACAAGATGCTGGACAAGACCCTTTACTGTTACAAAGGGTGTCATCTGGAGAGCAGGTGGAATCTGCGTGGGGTCTGATGACAGAGGGTAAGCATGCATCAATGCTAATTTCCAAATTGCAAATGCTCTATTTGGCCCACATTGACAGGTGTCCTTGTAAGAGAGGCATCCATGGGCCTGACTGGTTTGGCTCAGTAGATAGAGCTAGACCGTCTGCCTGCAGACTCAAGGGCCCCAGGTTAAATTCCGGAAAAGGGCATGTACTGGGTTGTAGGCACATCCCTAGTAGGGGGCATGCAGGAGGCAGCTGATCGATGTTTGGCTCTCATTGATGTTTTTAACTCTCTCTCCCACTCCCTCTGTGTAAAAAATCAATTAAAAACATATATTTTTTAAAGAGATAGATCCATGTAGTCGGGAGTATTGAGACATTGTGTAGGGCGGGTATTTTGGGTCTACATTTCCCCTTCAAAATCCATAATGGATGTTGTTGCAAAATTAATATCTCCTCATGTAAAGCGTTTGCTTGAAGAACACCATGTTCTGAGTAGGACAAAGCGGATGGTGGGCCCTCAGTTGACCACACCCGCCTCCAAGGCCAGTGCCTCAGCGATGGCCACAGCTTTAACGTGTCTATTGTGATGCTTCGCTATTTTAAGTTCATCGTTGGAAACAGGTATCTTCTCTTGACCTCAGCACACGAAAACCCTTTACAATGCTGGTCTGGGGCCGCTCAAACCGCCACAGCTGGAGCTGCTCTGCTGAAAGGGTGGAAATTAGAGGAACAACACAACGTAGAGCAAACAAACAATGAAACCGAGATCAGAGAAAAGGCAAAAGCCCCAAGTGTCTGCCTGTCTCCACACAGTCCCTTTTCTCAGCTTTGGACCAGCAAGTCCTGGGCCCGCAGGAAGACAAGCCGCCCTAGGGAGCCGGCCCCCCGGTTGGGGGCACAGCAAAGGGGACCTTCTCACCTGCAGTGTCCCCGGTGCACCTGAGGGTGCAGGGTGCGGAGTGGGGGGCTTTCCGGGCCCAGGATCCCGGACCCCGGACCCCGGACCCCAGACCCCAGCGCGCGCCTTCTCCCTCCCCCCACCCCCACCCGTGCTTGCGCCCACGTGCGCCTGTGGCGACCCAACCATCCCGTTACCAGGCAACGGGCTGCCCCGGCGGGAAGCCACTGAGCGGAATGCAGGGGAGCAGGCAGTTGGGAAGAAAAGAGAGCTTGAGCAGCAGCAATGAGCCCGGGTGAGAGCCTGGGCGGGATCAGTCCCTAGAGGGGAGCTGTGGACAGTGGATGGAGGGGTGGGGGTGTGGTGGAGGGGGCCGCCTCCCTGGGCCTGGTCCCTTCATCCCCATCCCATCCAGACCATCCGGTCTTCTCGACTAGCCTCACACTCCATCCCTCCCTCACCCTTCTCGCACCCCCGGCTCACCCCAGAACAGCGCTACCTCCATCCCTGCCTCCATCCCTCCAGCCTCCCAGCCGCCTGGTCCAGCAGCCGCCCCTGCGTGGCCCCAGCGCGCCCTCTGGTGGCCGCTCAGGGCATCGGCGCCCCGAGCCCCCGCGCCCGCCCCGCCTCCCTGCTCCCACCGCCCCCAAAAGCGACGTCTGGTTCTTCTGTTACAGAAAAGCTTCCTCAGGAAAGGGATGAAGTTGACTGCGTCCTCCTTTCGGCGTCCAAGATCCTAAACTCCTCTGAGGGGGCGAAGGAAGGCGGAGGCCGTGAGACAGGTAAACCCCCGGGGGATCACAGCCCCCGGGGCAGGGCCAGGGCGTGGTGGACCTGTCCGCCTTTGGACTGCAGGTGCCTGGTCCCTGGCTCACATCCACCGGCGCAATGCTGTGTCCCCAGCACATGCGTGCTCCCAGGAACTAGCATGCGGCACAGATTAAGAGCAGCTAACACAGCGCATCCCTCTGAGCCAGATGCTGTTCAGAGCATTTATTTTTTTTTAATATATTTTATTGATTTTTCACAGAGAAGAAGGGAGAGAGACAGAGAGCCAGAAACACCAATGAGAGAGAAACATCGACTAGCTGCCTCCTGCACACCCCCCACCGGGGATGTGCCCACAACCAAGGCACATGCCCCTGACAGGAATCGAACTTGGGACCTTTCAGTCTGCAGACCGACGCTCTATCCACTGAGCCAAACCGGTTTCAGCTGTTCAGAGCATTTCAATGCATCCACTCATTGATCTCACAACAGCCCTATGAAGTAGGCACTCCCATCGTCCCCACATTAGGAGTGAGGAAACTGAGGCAGGGGAGGTCCACACACCCCCACGGTCACACAGGTAGCAAGGAACAGAGCCCAGTGTCCAGTGGGGCCGGCCCAGATCCAGGCCTTGAACACCACACTGTATTCTCCTGGTTCTCTCAACACCAACCAGGAGCTGTGGATTTTTTTAAATATAATTTAATTTTATTTTATTTTTTGAGACGCCGGAAAGACATATCCTTTTTCCAAAAGCAATGCTTCTTATAGTAAATATTTATGGGCGAATGGTGAGGGTATTCTGGGGGAGGGTGTTTGAAATGACCACAGAGCTCCATGGACAAGCTCCAGCTAAGGGTGCCGAGGGCGTGTGTGGACAGCCAGCCCGCAGGGCAGCCGGAACATTGGAGTCCCTTGCCGAGGCTGCAGGCCTCTCGGAGGGCCTGGGGGTCAGCGTGACGGCCAGGGAGGAAGCAGAGCACCCTGGTGGAAGCCGCTATCTGGCTGATGGGCCAGGCTCAGACCCCCAGGGGCACATAACTGCATGTGGAATGTGGGTAACCCAGGCACAGAGGTGTTGAGAGAAGGGGTGACCCTGAGAGCTGAGACCAGCACGGGATCCCCCACCCAAGACTTCCTGTGTGCCCTGAGTGTGGCCTAATCTCCCGCAAGCTTCAGAGTAAATCC